GGGTAAGTCAGTATCAGGGATCCTATTTCAAAGCTTGAAGGAAGGTGCATTTTTTTGGCTGAGATTTAGTTGATACTGAACACTGAGATTTTATTGTTTCTTTTGAAATGTGTGATAATAGCATTTTTCCAGCTTGTATTTATTCTGTAATGTATTTTTTGAAATGTATATTTGATTTCTTTAATGAATGAGACAAGCAACTTGTGAGAGGGAAAGCTACAGATAGTACTTCATTCTTACATATATATATATATGCATCATTTTATGAGCTAAAAGCTAGGTCACATTGTATGTATGTGTATACATTTATATAATTGAATAATATATGAGAAAATAGACTTCATAAAAATTCTGTGATGAAAGGGACATACTTTCTAATCATGTTTATACACGTATATATGTGCAAGAATAAACTTTTGTCCTAGGTGGAACTTAGATTTTGAGACCTGGGAAAATGAAGGAGAAAAATAGTGAGAATTATTTCAGCAAATTTAATTCTTTTTTTTTTTAACTTGCCAAGAAAATCACACTGTGAACTCATTCTAAAACTAAGAGGATGAAAATGACCTCACTTGAACCAGCTTAGAAATAACACCATAAGAAATAGCCTGAAATGACTTCACTGTATACCTCACACCTTACAGCACTATCATTATCAATACTTGTACAGAAACCTAATACTCCTGTGTTACAGAAGAAATTTGATTAACTATTCTTCTGAGTTGTCCGATTTGGCATTAATAGTTTAGCACCAGTAGCTAAAGTAGGTGAAGCCTTATGCTGCAAGAGCTGACCAAGAGTAAATTTTTGATGACACCAATGCTGCTCACACACAACTCGCTGAAACCAGCAGATGAGTGGAAAGAGGAAGATAAGGCCAAGGAAACAATTCCAAGAGGATGAGGTAACTTCAGAAGGCCAGCCCAGCAACCGTGAAAGACAGTAAGAAATTAAGGGACCACTAACCAGAATTAAGTGATTGCAACTTGGGGATGGGGTGCTGGGTGGTACAGGTATAGTGGTGGGGCATGATCTGGGGTAGGAATCCCTCTCTGCAGGCACCCAGCTCGACTTGTAACCTGGGAACTAATAAAAGAGGAATTGGAAACACTTCTTTGGACTTTACATTAATCAGTGGGATCCTAGGGACGGACCCTGTTGTGGTGGCTCATGTGCATAAACCTGTTAAGACCTGTCAGTACTAAAATTGCTTAAACTGGTGCAGATATTTCCATAAGGAAAGGAAAATAAACTCTAGTCCTATAAAAGCATCCACTGATGAGACTGATATATTTACATCAGTAATAAAACACTATCAGACCGCTAATTAACCCAGTGGTACCAAAGCCTGTGTGTACTTTGCAGTGCCATTTCTCTTTCCAACACAGAATTTGGATCTGTAACTGCAGCCCTCACCTACAGAGTTTTGGCAATTTGTACCATCTAAAGTTGGTTGCTCTGGAAACAGGCTACAATTTCTTCCAGCTTCACAGCAAGAGCTGCTGAACTCCAAGACGAGCAAGCATAGCAGCCCTGTTCACTTCCCCAGACCGATGAACTTGCCTCAGGAGTCACAAATTATTTTTCTGTTTCCACTCTCTGAGATCAACCGCAGGAGGAGCTTTTGATTGACTTCAGAAAACACGCAAGCCTTGAAGTATCTTTCACTAAAGGAAGCTGGAAGAGGAAATCTCACATGGGCCAGAAAAATAACAGAAAACGTCTGCCTGAGTATCAGAAGGAAGTGTGGACCTATGTTACAGAATCAGGGCCGTTTCCTGAAAGAGAGCCCTTCTGCCTGGTTCCTCCCTTCTCCCCAGTCCTACAACATCCTACTTTTCTGCAAGGACTCCTGGATATTACTTACATGTTGTTGCTTGCTGTATTAGCAGTCTGTTACTAGTCACTCAACTCCCAGTCTTCTGAGCTCCTTCCTTCACCGAGCCATTTATCAGATGATCTGGAATTGCTCAGGCACCCAAACTGCACCCTGCTAGCACAGGATAAAGCAGTGGATGTTTTCACACCCAAGAAAGCAGTGTTTCTTACCAGATTTGCCTCCTGATGTCATGCAGTATGAGGTGAAATCATCAGAAATTGTCCTTCTCTTATCTTCTTTTCCCCTTAGGGACCAGGATACACAGACGGATGGCACTAAGTGTGTCGTACTCGGTCCTTTCTCAGTAAGGTGCAAATTACCTCCCCGCTGCCACGTGGCCAGCCCTGTGCCTGGACTGCTGGCATATGGCAAGGCAGCACTCCAGGTTCCACTCTCCTAACCTGCTGTTTTGTTAACATACAGGGGAGGAGACAAAGCAAAGGGTAGGGGGATGTCAGGAAACTTTGCTGTCCAATAAGTAAGATCCTGTCCAAATTCAGCAGATGTCTCAAACTACAGGGACTCTTCCTTCTCTTGATAGGCGTATGACATACCAGGAACTCTGTGGAAAGGATGAGGTCAACTGGCCCCACACATTCACAAAATGTGCCAGTGAAGCATTACATAATCCTTTTGATACTACATATTTCATTAAATACTAAAATTTAATTGTCCATAGGTACTTGATATAAAACTCTTCATGTCTCATTTGCAGATGATCATGCATATGATCAGAGCTGGACAAAACATTCTCCTTTGCCTTCCTTTCTTCCTCCAGTAACCTAGTCCACACTGGAGGAGAGCAGTTAAGTGGCAGCATTTTCCAGTTACTGTTTAATAATTTGTTTTTGAATTAGGAAAAGTGAGTATAAGGTTTTTCCTCTAGGCAGAAGACTCTGGGTATCCCGGTGTGATAAGGACAAAGCTAAGCACGCAGACATGAGAGAATTTTCAAAGCATTAGACAAGTATTCTTTTTAAGACGCTGAAATATTTTTAGGGCCCAGGCTCAGTTTGAGCTCCTGTGGGGGTGCAGCATCAGTAGATTAGGCATTGAGAGCTCATGCTGAGTACAGCAGCAGATGCAGGAGAAAACCAGCAGCAGAGCATGCCGCAGGAAAGCAGCAACAATGTGCAGAGGAGGCAGAAGTGTCATGCTCCAGCTTGGGGAGACTTAGCAACAGTGGCTGAGAGCCAGATGGAGGGGTGGGAGCATGAGGATGAGGTTGCTAAACACAGTAAAACAGAAAGCAGCTGAAAAACTTGGAGAGGAAGTAACAATACTCTCACTGTCCCCCAATTCAGTTCTCCTTATGATCACAGGGAACTAGAATTTGCCAGAACTGCTCTCTCTCATGCAGATTTTCAGATACGGGAGGAGATGCACAGCTCTTGTGTCAGGATCTAGCCTTGATTTTGCTGATGAATCGCAAGCAGAAATATATCACGAGGTGCAGAAAAGGCCCACCTGGTCATCCTTCAGGAATGCAAAACCAACAGAAGTTTCCTTTCCACAGCATAAGAATGTGATTAAAATAGCACAGAAAAGGAATGAAGGCATGCTTGCCTTAGCTCAGTTCATTTTTTCATCCCTCCTTACAAGGAACTTTAATTTTTTTCTTCTTCAGATGTTACATTAACTCCAAGATGTGTTGTCTTCTCACAGGGGTGAGGGGACAGGACGATACCACCTCTTCCCCCCTGTCAAAACTTTCCCCCTCTACTCCAAAGGACATGAGAAACAGTGCATTGCAAGGAAAGCTTCATACATAATTAATAAGCTCTGTATGCTTATGATTAAATTATCATAGCTCTTCTTCAGTAATGCAAGGAAGCAAGAGAAAAGCCCTCCAGAGATGGGGGAGTAGTGGGGGCTTCAATTATTTACATACATGAAAGAGTAACGAGTTTGCTATTCTCAGATAATCAGCAAATGGTTGGAGGGGGCACTCAATTCCACAGACAAATTTCTCTTTGATTACCTGAGTAAACTGATGCCTCATATCATGGCAGTGACACTGGTTCTATATTGTATGAGACATAAACACTCAGCCCGACCTACAACTGACAGGTGAAGGTTCCTACCAATACAGATCCCACTGCTGTGTCTTACCCTTTGAATGCTTTTCTGCTTTCCTTGTCTGCCAAGTGCAAAGGGCATCAGCAATGAGGAATTCTGAAATCTCAAGCGACTGAAAATAGACAGAGGCTTTGGGGTTTAGAGCAGATATAATTTAACTAAAATTCAAAATATATTTTTCTGACATATTTTAAAAAATTGTTTTAAAAATTATTTGCCCAGATCAGGTTAAAATGATTAAAAGCATAATTATCAAGAGGCACTCTTAAAAAGTGACATTTCACCACCTCATCAACTTTTCCATTAAAGCAAAGGTCATGGTTCTACTACGTTTTCAAATACAGACTTAACTCCAAGTATTAATTAATGAAACAATGAGTAGCAACACTTATTCCTCAAAATTCTGCACATCTCCTTTATCAAATATATTAACACAGGACTAAGGGTATAAGATCCAGTGAAGCACAGAACAGAGAAATATTATCAGAGGAGAAAGAAAATTGTGAGAGATTTCCATAACTAGAATTGTAAACCTGTTGGTAACACTACCTGTATTTGCTGCCTTTCCCACTAAACTGGCTGCAATAAAAGCCAAACCTCCCATTACCACTGGCTCCGACTGTACTCAGACTGTATACAGCCCACCTTCCCCTTTCCTTTAAGGACATTAAAATTCAAATCCATTTTTATCATTAGAGTATGCCCACTGTGAATTTTACTCAGTAAGTTTTACCCAGCTCACACAAAGCGGTAATAAGCAGAACTATTTCAAAATTAATTAACTTCTATTAATACAGAGAGTAAGAAAAATAAAGTAAGAATGTAAAAAAAAAAAAAAACCCACAAGATCCAAGACAAGATTCACCAGTAGCTAATTGCATGTTAACAGAGCCTTTTAAAGCAACATTTTGCTTCGTGCCTGCACAACCAAGACAAGGCAACCTTCTCTGATACTACGTGTCTTCTCATTGGGTTCCTCCATAAGCAGCCTTGATAAGGATTGTCCTTGCTTCTGTCACACTGAGTGATCTTACTCAGTTATCTAATTTAATTTCATTGATTTCTTCTTCTTGGCTTGTTGTTTGGACACGGTACCCAGAGCCGATTCTGAAATACCTGCGGATGTCTGAGGCAGGAGGAGTTTTCCAGACTGTGTTGGGTACTTGGTTTTCATAAGGACTTTAAACAGTGGCTGGGACAGCATATGTTTTAGTTGTTTTTTCATCCCTTTCAGCATCTTTTGCTTCTGGCTTTCTTCTTGCTCGCTAGCTTTTCCTCCTTGGGGTAGAAATCAAAGATACAGAATGTTACAACAAGAGAACAACTTGCGCTGGCCTCTTTCATTAGGCTTTTGTAGTGCCTAGGGGAAGACACAATTCTCATCTTTTTCTTTCTAACAAGGTCACTCAACTCCTGTATGGTCTTGCAATCATCTGTTAGACTTTCAGATCATCCAGGCTGTCCACATGACAACAAGATCAAGAAGAATCCTAACTACTGAGTAACTATACCCCAGGTATCATTCTGCTAAACCATTCAGTTGTCTCTCAACCCCGAACAGACTCAGGAACAGAAGGAAAGAGAGCCCAGAAGAGGATGTATTAACCCAGGGCTTCCAGCTCAGGCAGAAACTTCTTCTGTGTATTTCGTTACTTAATGCACGCTACATTTCGGCACCTGTAAAACAGGAAGCCCTTTCCTCCTTACACATAAAAAACAACGAGGTCCTCAGATTTAATAATACAGCAGGAAGAAGGGCACAACAAAGACTGGAGATACTAAATATGGTCAGAGGCCTTTACTGGAGAGAATAAATGCAATCAAGGTTGAGATAATGTAAACTGGAAGGACATTACTAAATCCTTTGTAATAGCATAAGAGGCATTTCATTTTGGAAGGAACGACTGAGATTTTAATTGGTCTCCAACAAGCTATAGAAAAATCAGAGACTGAATACATTCTAATGCACAAATCTGGCAAGATTTTGTGTGGAAATTACAAAGTGCTTCACTCAAGAGCCACAACTTACTTGTGGATATGCTGTTTTGAAACTCATTTCAAAGCACGGCATACTCAGATTTTGTCAAAACAAGACAGCAGAGTGCTAATTATCTGAGAGCGCTCCTGAACAGTTTGGACAGAGACGACTGCTGCTTGCTTGCAGAATGGTTGAGAACAAGCTAGTCCAGCCATGAATAAAGGAAAGAAAATAATTTTGAAGCATGTTCAGATTAATTAAGACATCTGCACAATTAGCAGCTAACAGGCTAGAAAGTGCTTAAACTGAAGTGACCCAGGCAGCACCCCTGCTCAGTGTGCCTTCAAAGAACTGGTAGGAAATCATACCTTCGCTCCTAAAACTTGAACACAACCAGGCATTTTGCCGCACATTTCAGCATTGCCAAACTTCATGGCACTGAACTAACAGGCACCTGTAGTTGCACAGCTCTACACATTCTCTCAGGCAGAGCCACAGAACATTCAATTTTAATCATTTAAGAAATTATTTACTTCGGCAACTGGAATACAAGTATCAGCCATTTAGCCCACACAATTTAACCTACATAAGCTCACAATTTTTGGAGACTGCTAGTGCTTCCTAAGTGTTCCAACACAGAGCCATCAGGCTCCTGTCCTGATGCCTGACTACAGTGGCATGGGAGAGATAAGCAGAAGTGGAAAACCAACTTTTTCTTTGACACAGAGGGGACAAGACTCAAGCAGGATATACTGAGCTGTTAGACTACAGTAAAATGTTCTTGTCCTATGACATGAGGACTTGCCTGCAACTTGCTAGCATTGTCACACCTCATATCCTTGGCTCCAACACTATCTACTGCACAATCACCCTACAAACACCAGCAACACAACACACTGAGTAATTACACTCCTTTCCTTCCCCTTCTGCCCTGAAGGTTTTAAGTGCTTCTCTGCCACAGTGAGGCTTCTTCTGGACACCAGTGCTATGGGACCAAATGAGTATATCCATAAACAAGCACTTCTACTTGCCCATAAACATGTCATCATCAAGATCAATCTCAAGAGCATCTGCAGCTTGCTGGAGCCAGGAGTTGTGTTGCTTTGCCCGACTATTGAAAAATTCTGCCTTCTCAATCTGCCGCGCCAAATTCATCCGTTCCTGCAAAAAAGTACATTTTAGACATTATGATGAGAATTAAATCATAGAATGGCATAGGCTAGAAGGGACCTTAGAGATCATCTAGTGCAACCTCCCTGTTTTTGGGCAGGGACGCCACCTCTCGACTAGACCTGGCAACACATGGGGACCGAGCGGGAATCGAACCCACGACCTTGGTGTTGGTCCTTGTTCCCAGCACCGCGCTCAAACCGCTGAGCTAACCGGCCACTCCTATGTGGGGTACTTCAGCAGAATCAGTGTTTGAGACCATGCATTACAATGCAACAAGTCAGTCACCTCTTCTTAGACCACTACAAGAAATGCTAGTTTTTCCATCTTTTAAAACCTGAGTCCTCCTCTAGACTCTCCTCTACTCTAGTTAATCAATTCCATCCGTCTCACGTGTGAAATCCCTTGAGAATTTTCCTGAACTTAAATGAAGGTATGTGGAACCTGGAAAGGAGCTTGCCAAAGGGACACACAGAAAGACCCAGCAGCATGATTAGTCCCAATTACAATGGCTTTGTGATTAAGTCCAGGGCAAAGTGTAAGAGACCTGACCACATGAAGGACCTCGGAGGCTGCAGTCCTGTAATTGCAATTACAAAGACATCTCTCCTGGGGAGAGAAGCACTACTGTGATTAGGAGAGAAGACTGTGAGATGGTGGCAGGAAAATTGTAAGTGTGGAAACAATACTTATTTTCCCATTAATTGATAAAGCATGATAAGAGCCAAGAACTACTAATCAAGAAACACAGAAGGGACCTCTGAAGAAACATTCTAAAGAGAAGATTCCTTTCAGTAACCAGAAACTTTTAAGATAGAAGAAAAAAAAATAAAAATCAATCAGACTCTCTTTCTCCAAGAGAAGAAAACTGAATCTGTGAAAGCATTTCTTTGATTTCCTTACTTTTTCAGAAAGCTGCATCTCATAGGACTACAGAATCACAGAATGGCCTAGGTAGGAAGGAACCTTAAGAGATCATCTAATCCAACCTCCCTGCCATGGCAGGGACGTCAAACAACTAGACCAAGTTACTCAAGGCCTCATCCAACCTGGCCTTGAACACCTCAAGGGAGGGGGCATTCACAACTTTTCTGGACAATTTATTCCAGAGCCTTGCCACCCTCGTACTGAAGAATGTTTTCCTAAGATCCAGTACGAGGGTCTCCTGAAAGATTCACACATTTGCAGCAAGCCTGGGCTTTGAAACTTGCTAACATTATCCCAAAGGAGAGGACACCACCGCTGCCACTGGGATAGACACTGGGCTCAGTCCAAGCCAACTGGATAAGCATGAACCAGAATATGATAAGGAAGATATCTGCTGCATTCACAGAATCACAGAATGCTCGGGACAGAATCACAGAATGTTAGGAGTTGGAAGGGACCTCAAAAGATCACCTAGTCCAACCCCCCTGCCAGAGCAGGATCACCTACAGCAGGTCACATAGGAATGCGTCCAGGTGGGTTTTGGATGTCTGCAGAGAAGGAGACTCCTCAACCTCCCTGGGCAGCCTGTGCCAGGGCTCTGTCAGCCTCACACTGAAAAAGTTCTTTCTAATGTTTTTGGGGAATCTCCTATGCTCCAGTTTGTATCCCTTGCCCCTTGTCCTGTCATTGGATATCACTGAGAAGAATCATAGAATGGCCTAGGCTGGAAGGGACCTTGGAGATCATCTAGTCCAACCTCCCTGTCATGGGCAGGGATCCTCCCTGACATGGGCAGGGATTCCCCCTCTCGACTAGACCAGGCAACACATGGGAGCCCGGCTCCATCCTCCTGACACTCTCCCTTGACATATTTTTAAACATTAATGAGGTCACCCCTCAGCCTCCTCTTCTCTAAGTTAAAGAGACCCAGCGCCTTCAGCCTTTCCTCATAAGGGAGATGTTGCACTCCCTTCATCATTTTTCTGGCTCTGTGCTGGACTCCCTCAAGCAGCTCCCATTATCTGACTGCTTGCATTTGTCTCTTGTTCTCAATGACTGCAATATTCAGACATTCCAACCCAGCTGGATTCCTTTCAGATGCAATATTTTAAATATTTCCTATTTGCACTAGGCTGATGTCAACCAAACTGTTAAAGAGAATGCTGTGAAATTAAATGACCTCTTACTCGAGAGGTAGAAAATCTGCAGTGACTAGATGCTTTCTAAAATACAGTATTCTAAATCCTAACCATAGTCTATCTTGTGAGCTAGTGAATGACTGAATTTTCCTTAAAACAGGCAATAGCCTAAGGAAAAGGAAATATACATGGTTTGACAGGGTTCAGCGGCCTCAGAGTACAGGAATTTTTAGAAAAGCAGACAATTCACTAATTCAACTGAGAAGAGGCAGACAAAGACTACCCAAGATCCCTGCACCTCCTACTGTCCTCTAGTCTGCTCCTAACTCAAGTGGCTTTAAAAGACACACTGAACAGTGCCAGCCCAGCTCCCCAGGCACAAAACATACTCGCTTCCCTGTACTGTTCTGGGGAATCTAGTCAGGAAAATCTCTACGTAACAACGTGCAAGAAAAACGTGACATTGGAACACACTGCTTGGGCCAGTTATTGCAGAGAAATCACAAACACTGCCAAAATAAAAAAACATAAGAGAAGTGTGATTAATTTCATTTTCAAACACAGGTCCTGAAGAGTAAACTGCATCTGAAATCTGGAAAGGATGTGATGTACAATGCAGTAACATAAGTAAGCAAGCAAGCAACTACTTGGGCTGCAAAGAGATTGTGGTTTCTTTACCTTGATTGAAGTCATGCATTTGGTTTCAACTGGGAAAATCGGCAGTTCCTCACTCTTCTCCAATGTTTTATAAATTTTCCTAAAATTGATCAAGTCATCAGGACCAATCAGCAAAAGGCTAAGGCCTTCATTGGCAGCTCGGGCTGTTCTGCCGCTTCTGTGTACGTACAGCTCAGAAGTACGAGGGACCTGCAAATATTCAAAAAAACCATGAAGCTGGCCATGAAAAGCTAGCAGCAGCCTGCCATCATGCATTGGCCAAGAGGTTGCTAGGGAATATTGCTTTTTATATATACATGGTACATTTCATAAAACACAGCTGAAGGCAAAGTAAAAGAGGATGTCTGGAGACACTTTTTGTTCGCTGGTCCAGTATTCACCCTTGCATAATCTTTTGTGAGTCTCTCCTAGGTTCTGACCCTCTGTCATTTTATCTGCAAAGCAAGATACGATTGTATGTATCTTCAGAGAATAGTGATGGGCTGAGTGATTTGACACCTTTGGGTATCGAAGTTAGGTAAAAAGCAAGGCGAATCATAAATTATGTCATTTCTCATATATATAATCACACATTCATGAAAAGCTACCTAGCGCTGTCACTCACTGCAGCAATGCTATCTTTAAGCACAAAGCACTAAGGACAGTTAAATTAATAATGATGACATTTCTATAAGCAGGACTACAGACAGGATCGAGAATCACAGCTTTATATATAGTGTTCAGGGTTTTGATCAACAGCTTATTCAAAACCAAAACAGTAAAAGCAAAACCATTAAAAATATTTAACCTGGTAGTGGATGACATGCTGCACGTTGGGAATATCAAGACCACGAGCTGCAACATCTGTTGTCAGGAGGACACAGCTGAGAAAGAGATAATATTTAATGAACATAAAACTGAAGAACAAACCATCTGCTAAGGAATATGAAATAGAGAGACCTAGAATTCTACCACAGCAATTTAAGGAACAAATTTGTACTGTATTAACTACTAGAAATATGCTATTTGTTTGCTCTAACATAAAATAATATCCAATATGACATCAAAAGCACTCTTGAAACAGCAATTTTGAAGGAAAAAAAAAAAAATCAAATGTTACCTTCAGCAGGTCTACTCAGTTTCCAATAAAGAAATGCACTACCTTGCTGGATCCTCTTTTCCTGTGCTTTCATCTTCTCCCCATTCACAGGAACACTAGCACAAATCACTGTTCAGTGACCTCTAACTGCTTGGAAGGGGGCTATGTTCCAATTCATCAAATTTTTCAGTGCTCTGTCCAGGCTGGGTTTGAAAATATCTTCAGCTTAATATGACCATCCCATTAACAACACAGTTCATATTTTGGCAGGACTAACAGGTTTTTACAAGTTGCATCAGTTGAGAAAAATCACATTATAAAATTATAGATTTAATTAACAGATTTTTGGGGCTAAAGTATCTTCTGCCAAGCTACACTCAAATAAGTTTTCTCAGTAAATTAAAAGCTAGAAATACAAGGGGTGAGGGATTCTGTTCTGACAATTAGTATTTCTCCTTGCCCCTAAAAATGAAGAACTACTCAAAAAAATACTATGTTGTTTTTTGTTTTTTTTTTTTATATATAAACAGTCTGCTACAGATACAAAAGTCTCCCTAAATCACGGAACAATTTGTTTTTAAAAAAATCTCCCAGAAGCTGAAGGAATTTACTTGCAGGCAACAGGAATTTACGATTTTATGGCATTTGACTGCATACTATTGTTACAAAGTTCAAAGCAGAAATAAACCAAGAAAATTCTATGGCTTGCAATCTGCAGGAGGCCATGACAGATGGCCTCAGAAGCTTCTTACCATAAACATCTGCAGTCTCTGAAAATGCCCTGTCTAACCAAGGCCATTACATTTTGCCACGAGATGCTGCAGATCTAGCATGGCAATTCAACATCTGTTCTTCTTGCCCGAGTCTACTACCAAGGAACAAATTCCCCTGCAGTCTGCACACAGCACTTCACAGCAGGACTAAAAGGTGAGGCTTCTGGATTTTAGAAGCACTGAGACCACCACCCTCCTTCCAAAGGCCGTCCCAAAGCCAGCAGGAAACAGTAATTCTGGCCGAGGACAGGCCCGCCTGAGTAGACCTGTCTGCCCACTGCTGCTGAACGGCACAACTGCCCTTTCTCCTGCATTGCTCTAGGATACCTTGAGCCTCAGGAAGGAGTCATCTAATTAAACCCACAAAAGCCTAACCCAGCAAAGAGTGGTTAGTTTTCTGATGGCTAAGTGAGATGAAACAACTTACAGAAGGATCAAATGAGCTGCAGAGCCAGGGCACAGGAGCCAAGAGGTGTGCACCATGGTTATAAAAGTATACAAGCTCCTTCAGCACCAGTTAGCTGCTAGACCATGGGATAATTCAGGCTCCAAGGGACCTCAGAGGGTCTCAAGTCCAACCTCCCCCTTAAAGCAGGATAAGCTATAAGGTTGGACCACGTTGGTCAGGGCTTTATCCGCCTAAGCCTTGACAACCTCCAAGAGCAAGCACCCTGTTCCAGTGCCTGATGGTCCTCACAGAGAAAAAATGCTCCTTTCTACACCCAGCCTGAATCTCTCATTTCAACTTGCAACTCTCATCCCTCATCCTCCTACCATGTTCATTCGTGAAGAGCCTTGCTCCATCCTCTTGATAACCTTCTTCTAATGGATCAGAGAGACCATCTCAGCCACCGAGATGGTCCCCACAAAGTCTTTTTCCCAGGTGATACAAGCCCAGTGCCCTCAGCTTCTCCCCTTGCAAAGACAGTGCTTCTCGACCATCTCAGTGGCCATCCATTGAACTTGCTTTAGTGTATCACCTAACCATCCTGTCAAACCTCAGCCTTAATTACCTGTGCTCATGAACAGGGCATCCCCAGCTAACTCTCCCAACCTGCTCCTACTTTAACAGAGCTGTTACCACTCTCCACTACCCTTCACATGATTTTTTTTTGTCTCCTATGAGGCAGAAACTCAACTCACCTCTCTCGCTCAGCAAACCTTTCCAGATTTTTCAGCCTCTGCTTTTGGTGCATGTTGGCATGCAAAGGAAGAGGATCACAATTTAATATTGTGAGGAGAGAACTGAGGCGTTTTACACAGTCTATGCTATTTGCAAAGACCATGGTTCTTCCTGGATACTGGAGAAGAAAATAATAGAGGTAATAGTCCTTCTCGTCTGTATTGCAGTGGATTCTGGTTTCTGTCAGAGTCTCAACAGTAGCCTCTTTCCTTGTTAGGTCTATTACTTTGGGTTTGCCCTTTATTCCTACTTTTTCCATTAACAATTCCAGTTTGGTCTTCTTGTCCATCTTTTTAGCATTCTTTTTCTGTAAAACTCTTGTGGGAGTCTGATGGACCAAAGTCAAAGTGGCAGAAAAAACAAAAGTCTGTCGTTGAGGGTTATACTGTGAATCATTTAAGACTTCCAGCAACTGAGACAGCTCTAAGAAGTGACCTTTCTCAACCATTCGGTCTGCTTCATCAATCACAAGGCACCTGTCAAATAGAAAACACACAGTGAAAATATACTTGTGCAGATAAATACAAAAGAGATACTCTTAAAGAGAACTTCTCCTGCTAAAAGCATAAGGGAAGTTCTGCATGTAAACCCCAAAGGAACACCAGGTATGCTGGGGTAGCTACAGTAGCCTTCCACATTTGTTTGTGAAAAATCAATCTCTAAAGCAAAAATTATTTTTTTGCCACTGGTTGTAATTGACATTTCCCTCCATCAGTGTAACCACTGTGCATTTCAGTGAAACACTCTGGCAAAGAAATAAGTGATCTTACATGGTCAAAATGATTTAATCAGTTAGTAAACATTATCAGTCTGCAGTGACACCCAGTTCAGTATCCAGCAGTTACTCTAGAAGGCACCTTTACCTGAGCTGCCGAAGGTTTGAAAGATGTGGGTGTCTCTCTTTAATTAATTCCCACAGACGGCCAGGGGTTGCAATTACAATTTCTGGCTTTCGGTTCAGTACACGTTCTTGCTTCTGTGCAGCCATGCCTCCAACTAGAATTGCAGTCTTGATGCCTAGAACATATAAATTATTCAGATAAAACTATTATTTCTGAATGAATGTCTTTACATACATCCACTCAAGGTATTTTAAAAAGCGTACATGCAACTTTCAGCAAGCATTTTGGCCAGCAATCTTCAGGGGTTTTATGTAACATTGAATACACAGCAATCCACTCAATTTTACAGAAATTGACAGAAATTATAGTTAAATGTCAGAAATAAAGTAGTCTTTTAGTGCACCTGTCTTCCAACAGCATTAAGAATCACATATGTCCTCCATAGCTGTTAGCTTTGTTTACCCATACTTCAGAATCTCATGTTTTGTCAATTATATCTGCATGAACAAGCATGTTCCTGGTATGAATAACCAGCAGACCCCTCCAAGAGTAAGACCAGCAAATGCCTGTCTTGCTAATAACTCTTCATTGGCTATGGAATAATCCGAACAAGAATATTCCTGCCCAATTAATGATTCTCTGGACTGCACAGTAGAGCAGACCCCAAGCTGATTTTGCTGAGGTACTAAAAGGAGTTTAGTTCTGGAAGAACAGGCTCCACACATGGCTTATTCCACCCTACTTCTTCGTATACACTGGCCCATGACAAACTGAATGTTCCTGTGCAAGATTCCTCCCGTATTCCAGCTTCCATGTGGAGATTTTTTTTAAAAGTGAGTTTTGAGACAAGAGGGCCCATATCAAAACATATTCTCTCCTGCTGCAGTAACTATACGTCACTTTGGTAGCTTTGGGCTTTTGGGTGGGTTTTTTTGTTTGTTTTTTGGGGTTTCTTTTTTTTAAACACACAAATAGAACTGCTCCTATCAAAACTGTATTGACATAAATTGATCATTTCAGGCTAGGAGTTAAAATTAGCCTTGTAATCTGCTGTAGACTGATGAGCACAGCAGGACATATATACACCAAAGGGAGATGTGCTTTAAAGTAGTTCACTGCACTACATATCCTCTTCAATACATAAACACTACTATTGGAGAAGTGGGAAATATTTTTTCCCCAATTTTACCATCTTGAACAGTTTCACATTCTTACTCATTCACTTAACAGATGCGCTGACCTCTCATTTGGAAGACAAAAGAACAGGATGGAATTGCTTTCTTCAGGCATATCAGCCAGCAATCTGCCGTGGCCTGACTGCTGTAGGAGGAAAGTCAAACAATCCAGCAATGCCTTCTACCCTTAAAATTTATGGCCATAATTTCTTTTTTGATAGACAGATCAAAATAGATAGCTATAGATATATCTACAGCTCTCATTATCCACATAGGTTAATACATCCGTCAAAAAAACAAATGATGATATTTAAAATAA